CCGTTATACTACGATGCACAGTATTTACAGCCATAGCCATGCAGTAGTTTACGATTTTCCTTATTCTGACATGCAGAACTTACGAGACTGAAATATAACTCACAATCAGAAACTGAAATATAATTCAGAAAAAATACCAAACGATTCCAAAACAGGAACCGAACTTTGCTTTGCCGTGCGACAACGCACAACACTACCATTAGGCCACGTTGCACCGAATATATATGTGAACTATCGAGTAGAGAAGAATGGAATCTGAAAAATTTACCAATTTTTTCCCACCTTCTGCTTTTCAATTTACAAAATTCAATTCGGTAGATTATTAATGCTCAAAGTACAGTATAGAACTTGAAAAAGTCTAGGTTGCATCTGAGAAATAAATTAGAGACAAAATCCAAAAAAATTCAAAAGCAGAACCCGAACCTTGCTCTGCCACGCGGGACCAGACACCACTACCACTACGCCATGACACACTTGCTACACTAGCTCACTATCCAGAAAACAAAGGCGGATTCTGAAAACTTACAAACTTTTTTCCCTTCTTCCTCTTTTCAATTTCCAACACAGTTAATTTGATAGATTATCACTGCTCAAAGTATAGTATAGGATTTAAAAAAGTTAAAGCTAGATCTGAAATATAATTCTGAAACAAAATGTCATAAGATTCAAAGAGAAAAATCCGAACCTTGCTCTGTCATGCGACAAAGACATTACCACCACTATGTTATGATACACCTACTAATTTTTCTCGCTATCCAGAAGACAGAAACGAATTCTGAAAAATTACAAACTTTTTTCCCTTTCCCTCTTTCCAATTACAGAACAGATGGGATGGCGGATCACTGTTTCTCAGTGTACACTATATGAATTAAAAAGCTTAAAAAGAAGTTTCAAAGTTAGAATCCGAACCTTTTTGCCTTCTTCTCTTTACCAATTGCGCCTTTTGCCTTTTCGAAATGTTTCGTCTTCTTTGATGTTTTCGTAACGCTCGGAATGTCCGTATTACCTGCAACCAAAAGTTTCGCATTCATGAAAATCCACCCTAACAAAATCAACACGCAACACCGATGGAACCGTATGATATACACCACGTATTTGAACCGCTGAAACGGTAAATACCTGCAGAAAGAAACTGAACAATTAAAATCTCGTGTAATTCTTACCGCTCTCAGTGTTGCTGATCGTCTTCACTGTGTTGTTCTATTATATTTCCCGATTCCCTTTGCGTTGTTCCATTATCCACTTCGACTCCCTCTTCTCTCCATCCCCTGTTAAATCAGGGAAGAATCGCACTGCGACTGCCTACAAACAAATCCTACACTATACCGAGGACGATTTGAAAGAATTCCGTAACAATAATTCAAAAAGCCATAGAACAGTATAATGACCTGTCAAACTGGATCGATGACCAATCGAACTTCGCGAATCCAGAGCCCAGTGTCCCTCAGCGATCCACCGTCCCCGATCCACGCGATCTGAAATCAAACAGATTAGATTTTGAAAAGAAAAATCGGACAAATGAGACAGGAAGTGTAATGAAATACGTCCACGACGGTTTGGTGACTGGTCGTGGACGAAAAAATGAATAACGGTTAGATCCGATGGCTTACCACACCATCGGAACTCGTCCAACGGCGTTGGATGCAAAAAATCGCCGTTGGATAATAAAAT